GTGGTGAGAGTGGGGTGTTGAAGTCTCCCACTGTTATGTGTGGGGCTCAATCTGTGATTTAAGTTTCTGTAATATTTCTCTTACAAATGTGGGTGCCCTTGTATTTGGGGCATAGATGTTCAGAATTCAGACTTTATCTTGATGGATTTTTCCTTTGATGAGTATGAAATGTTCTCCTCCATCCCTTTCTTTCTCTTACTCCGTCTGTCTGTAAAGACACTGCTGTGGTGGGGTATTTGGCTTAGCTCAGTGAGTAGTAGCCATTTTTGGTGATTTTTATAACTATCATCAAAAGAATTATTTTCTTGTTCTGTGAAGCAAAAGTAATTTTAAAGTTTATGCTACTTCTTTAGGACTGTTTATTTCTATTTTTTGTTTAATGGAGGGTTGTTTTATTTTACTTCCTTTCATGGCTACAGAGAATTGGACCTAGAACTTCATAGATGCTAGGCAGGTTCCCCACTTAGTGTCCCATAGTGGTTTAGTGTCTACTTGACTGTCTTTTGAAAACTGTTCATATCATTACTTGTTGATTGATTAGCAGCTTTACTTCTTTGGTTTTTAACTTCTGAGGTCCTTTATATGTTCAAGAATTAACCCTTTGTTTGAGGTGTAGCTGGACATTTTTTTCCCTCATTCTGCAGCCTGTTTGTTGTTTCTTTTTCTGTACAGAAACTTTTTAATTTCTTGTAGTTTCATTTGTCAATTCTTGGGACTGTTTCCTATGCTATCGGAATTCTAGTCCCATTCTTTAGTCTACTGTATGAATGGTGATTCCATCGTGACACCATTAATCCTAACGGAGACATGCCAGTCTTCCTTTTAATTCTAGCAAGGGCCAAGGTACTTTGTGCTCCCTTTTCCTTTGACACTCAGGAATGTGAGAGGTAAACAGTCTTGGAGAGAGTCCAGAACAGCAGATTTGCTCCCAGACAAGGAATCTGAAACATTTGAAAACTCTGAAGTCTGAGACCTCTTCAGAGGTGCAGAGAGGTCAGAATTAATCCCCTGACCCCAGTAAAAGCCATGCGGGGGGAGGGGGAGGGCGTGCAGGAGCCTGGGTCAGTTCTTTGCTGTGGACACCACATTGGGCCTAGTGGACTGAGCCTTGCATGAACTCTCTCTTCTTTGCTGTTTACTTGTACTGGGGGCTGGCTTAGAAGCTCAGCCTTACTTTGCAATAGGATGGTTATTTTAGTATACTTAGTTTGTGCTTCTGCGGTATTTCCACGTTAAGTCTCCATTGGGTTACATACAGGAAAAAATAATAAGTATTTCTCAGGATTCAGGAGGCATATCGTAAAAGGATATATTCTGTCTAATTCTGTTTCTTACAAACATTAAAGATTAACTGTTGAAAAAATGCTTTCAGATAAATGTCATTCTACATTAATTATTGGTTTTTGTCAGAGCAGTGTAATAGCAAATTACTTTCTGTCTAGTGATTTCTGTCCACAGGTGAAGTGGGATAGTCTCCCCTTGTTTATATTTTTGGATAGCTGAGTGAGATGGGAAATAGTTTTGATATGCAAGGTCAGTTCTGCGCATCAGGGTTCCATACACTTCCTGTCAGCAAAGGTATCAGCTGCCAGAGCCCCTGATAAGGCCTATTTCAAGCCAGCAGTGTCTGGACAATAAAGACTAAAGATAACAGTTACTGCGGTGAGGCTGGCAGCAGCGCCCCCGCGTTTTACCGTCTGGACCAGAATAAACACTCTGAAGTCACTCAAAGCTAAGTCCTCTTTGCAAGCTACACAGGAGATCCAACGAGTGAGCAAGGCTGACCTTTGAAGTGTCAGGGTGACTTTAAAGGGTCGTCTCTCTCATCCAGAGGTTGGAAAAGATCAGAAGCTTTGAAACCTAAAGAACATTTTCTTGTGGTTGGGGACATATGATATTTGCTAAACAAAGTGCAGGAAGAGTGGATGTTGGATGAAGTTTTCTCTCTCCTACACCACTCTACATAGAATAAAAAACCAGTTCTATAGGACTGGAGAGATGACTCAGCAGTTAGCAGCACTGGATGCTGTTATAGAGGACCCAGGTTCAATTCCCAGCAGCCACACATCTCACAGTCATCTGTAAAGCCAGTTTCGGGAGATCTGATTCCCTCTGCTGACCCCCACAGACACTGCATGGACACGGTGTACAGACCCATACATACCAAAATAAAACGGAAGGAAACTGTCCTCCCTTCCTGACCCCCACAGACACTGCACGGACACGGTGTACAGACCCATACATATAGAATAAAACGGAAGGAAGCTGTCCTCCCTTCCTGACCCCCACAGACACTGCATGGACATGGTGTACAAACCCATACATATAGAATAAAACGAAAGAAAACTGTCCTCCCTTCCTGACCCCCACAGACACTGCATGGACACGGTGTACAGACCTATACATATAGAATAAAACGGAAGGAAACTGTCCTCCCTTCCTGACCCCCACAGACACTGCACGGACACGGTGTACAGACCCATACATATAGAATAAAACGGAAGGAAGCTGTCCTCCCTTCCTGACCCCCACAGACACTGCACGGACATGGTGTACAGACCCATACATATAGAATAAAACGGAAGAAAACTGTCCTCCCTTCCTGACCCCCACAGACACTGCACGGACACGGTGTACAGACCCATACATATAGAATAAAATGGAAGGAAATTGTCCTCCTTCCTGACGTTTCCACTCATTTGGTGTCAGCAGGAAAAGTAGCTTAAACTCGTTTTGACTTCTTCATGTGAGAAATTGGGAGGGAGAAAAGGATGTGTTTTCACTTGCTGTGGAGCTGATGCATCTTCCCAGTCCAAAGTGTTCCCTGCTGTCCACTCCGCACGGAAGAGTCACTGCAGAACTGTCTCATTGCTTCCAAAGTCAGTGTTTGTTCTCAACAGATGGACAGCGGACTAATTTAAAAAAGTTAGGCTAAAGGAGACATGGACTCCTCTTAAGCACAGGAGAATCCGTGAGGACCGGACCCTCTTTTGACCTTAGCAGTGGAAAAGAACAGTGGTTGACTCTGGTGACCTTCCTGGTCTGAAACATGCCACAGGAGTCGATATGAAGGGTTAAAATGATCAGCGTGCTTCTTAGCAGACTGCAGGACTGGTGACGGCCAGAGCAGACAGAGACAGATGGTGCCGGTGTAAATGACCATTTAAGAAAATGCTCTCGTCAACGTGATTTTTGTTTCCAGTTAACAAACCCACTAGTTACCTTTTTAAAATGTCTTCATTACTGGGAGGGATGTGCGTGTGATGGTCAGAGGACAGCTTGGCCACTCGGTTCTCTCTGCCCTGTGTGTACCAGTTATAAACTCAGCTCCCAGGCTTGGAGCAACTCCTCTACTTCTAAGCTGTCTCGCCAGCCTTTGTTGTCTTGTCTTGTAATTGACAAAGTAACAGCAAAAGTCAAGGTAGTGAAGTGCTTGAAGAATCACAGTCACTGAAGGAATTTTGTTAAGACACATTTTTTCACTGTGTCAGTTCCACAGCCATTAAATTGTTAGTGCTGTCTTCTCTCCACCGTGAAGCCACATTGCAGAAGTAAAGCAGCCAAGCATTGGTTGCACAGAGGCCAGCTTATCGCCGGGACCCCATGGAACTGTATTATGTCCACTCCCATGTCCTTTAGTTCTTGATGTAATGCCGGGCACATTGGCTCCTTTGAAAGCAGTATGTGGGGACAGAAAAGTATTCTGAAGTCACTTAGTGCAGTTATATTTTTAAATAGAGAAAATAAGACCCCACGAGTTCTTGAATTATTAGTCTAACAGTGACACTGCCTGAGACATATAAAGAAAAACTCCTGAATATATTTTTGATATTTTACTTGTCCATAAACAGACACGACATAGTTTACAATATTTCTTTTTAATTAAAGTTGGCAAAATGAATAGGGGGCAGTTCTCAAATTCTAAAATCTAACTTTTTTTTTAGTATTCTTTTTATTGTATGTATACGCCTGACTGAGTTTATATGTACCCTGTGCATGCAGGAGCCTACAAAACCCAGAATGTACCAGGGTCTCTGGAGTTGAACCTGGTGCCATCTTTACAGCCCCTTTCTGAACCTGGCTCCTCCGAGCCATCTCTACAGCCTGTCAGATGTGTTAACATTTTTCAGGGGAAACTTTTTTGAGTGGCTAATGATTAAAAGAAAAACTCAACCAGGACAGGCTCCAAAACCACAGAGAAACCCTGTCTCGAAAAACCAAAAAAAAAAAAAAAGAAAAACTCAATGCAAAGAAATCTAGAAGCAATAATGCCATCATATAAATATGACCTGAATCTGCAAGTACTCTGCTTTACCGTGTTTGATGAGCTGCATTTCTATATAAGGAAGCAGCTTCCACTTGTGCTCACGGCTTTAGCAAAATTAGAAAAGATTAAACAGAAAGATGTTCATAAGTCAGGCGTCACAGACCCTGGAAAGTGCACGTTCTCTGCAGCTCTTTGCCTTCTGGAGGAGAGGACTGGCATGTTTAGAGTATCAGGCTTAATATTTATCACTAACAGTTTGTATAAAAACCTCCAAGACTCCAGCAACAGAGTCCAGCACACTTTTGCAGATAAGAAATGCGAAGCCAGACAACTTCAGGTTATTTAGAGTGAAGTCGTGGGGCCAGCTGGGACTCGGACACACAACTTATTGCTGTGTCCAGTGTGCTGTATTCCTTTAATTACAAACATTTGCCTCAAATCTGTTTCTCAGAAAAATGGACAAGATTTAATAAGTCATGCTTGGGCCTTGATAACATGGGATGAAGCAAGCTCTCACATTTCTGGTTGTTTGCCAGGTTCCAAACACCTGGAAGACGCCTTAAATGAAGCTTTGAAACTCAGGCCTATTGGGTTCCTAGCACAGGCCTTGTACGGGCCTTTGGGATGCATAGCACGCATCTCACACAGACTTTGGAGATTCATAGTACGTGTCTCACACAGGCCTTCAGGATAGAGAAAATGTATCTTAACAGTTTCTTGTTGTTCTTGAAAGAAACATGAGCTCAGCTGGCCCTGATGGGAGGAAGACAATGAGAAGATGTGATGGGCTCATTGACTCGTTGGTCCATTATGTCAGAGGAACCATTGCAGACTACCAGCCGGACGATAAGGTAACTCGAGAGTTAAACATCCTCACGCCAGACTACCCACTAGGACTTACTAAGATGCTTCAAACTGGTAAAAATTTTTGCTTGATGTAGTTTTGATTTGCTTTCCGAGCCCAAGGCTTTCATTACGTGCTTAGATACTTAAATTTCTATCTAGCCTTAGACTCAGAGTTTTTCCAGACCCAAATTTCCAACACACGTTTTAACATCTCAGTGTGGATGTTCGTCAAATACTACATGTTCAGCAATAAACCCTTAAATTCATTTCTTCCATCACCCAATCTTGCTGTTTTCTTTCTGATAATCAGCATATCCGGGGCTGGAGATTGTAGGTTAGGGGGAAGCACTGGCCGGACATGTATAGTATCGTCACTGAGTGAGTGACTGGCGAAGAGATGAGTGAGTGAATTCTCATTATCTTTCAAAAGATGACAGCAATATGGATGACCTCAGGCTGCTCCTCCTCCCGCCCACCTGTCTGTCACTTCTCCAGCGCCCCATCTGCTGCTTTCATTTGCGTGTCCCTATACTAGCTGTAATAGTGTCCTCTGATAGGTCACTGTGGGCAGTGTCATGACTATCCTCCGTATTAGTGTGGCTACTAATTTATGTGCGGGAAGTTTGAATTTGTTCTGGACATAGGATGTTTAGACATACTCTAAGGTGCTAGAACTACAGCTCACTGGTAGAGCATCTGACCACTGGAGAAGAGCCCTGGGTTCAGCCTCCAGTTATGTTAAAAAGGGTTGGGTTGGGGGAGGCTACTTGTTATTTTAAGAAACTTGGATTCTGTATTTTAAAAGTACTCGTGACCATTCGTTCACAGTCTCGCATTAGCCGTCCCAGAGGTCCTAGGTACTCCTGCGTACCTTATTGTCCAAGCATACTAAACTGCATGCAGTAAGGCTTTTGAGAGCTGAAGCCTATATTTAGGCCTTGTGGTAGACAAGGCATCCGAGAGGGGTGTCACTATGACTGTGAGCAGGAGTCACGTTCTTCCCGCAGGCCACAGAGAACTGTGTGTGCATTCTTCATAACCTCTCCTACCAGCTGGAGACAGAGCTCCCAGAGAAGTATTCCCAGAGTATCTACGTGCAGAACCGGAATATCCAGACCAACAGTAACAAGAGTACCGGCTGCTTTGGCACTCGAAGTAGGAAAGTAAAAGAGGTATGTCAGGGATCCTTTGAGAGGTAGCCGGGGATGAAGGGAGAATGAGGGTAGGGAGACGCTCACTCCTGGTCCCACGTCAGCCCTCCCTTGAGGCTCTACCAATAAGGAAACTTCGTTAGTTTTCCTATATGAATTCGGTGACTGGGTGAAGGGGATAAAATTCAGTCCCCACTAATCTGACTCCAGATTTGTGCCGTTAGTGATTCAACCTTGCTGTCCTGTGTCCTCTGTGGGCCGAGATACAGTCATTGTTTAAGCATTACCAGAAGGGTTGGTGTTTTCATTGTGTATCCCAAAAATAAACTGGGAACACTTTAAAAGCAAATTCCCTAGAAAAGATAACATACCTCTTTCAGAACTGACATAAAAGTGAAAGAATGTATTCTTAGTGTTAGTGTATTCTTGAATTTGGAAAATGGCTGGTAAATTTAGATCCTTGATACTATTCCAAACAATTCCATAAGCCTTTGAGGGAACCAGACCTGTTCCCTGATCTTCAAAGTGATGGGCTGATGCGAGAGGTACAGATTGTCTTTATTACAACTCAAAAGGATTCAAAGGGAAATACAGACTCACGGAATATAGGACAAGATGAAAACACAGTGAGTCCAGCCACAGTGTCCCACGGCTCTGCCCCAGGGAGACGTGAACAAGCGTACCAGCTTGCTTATGCTCTGACCTCCCAAGAGAGCGAGAGAGACCTCTCCTCTCCCTAATAAGAGATCATATCAGTACACAAAAGCCACACCCTAAGGCTGGGACCAAAAAAGCTATTGATGGAAATGAATTCCCACACCAGTGGTGACCATTTAGAATCTAGGTTAGATGCAGCTGGAGACAGTTTCAGAAGCACCTGTGTTTAATTCCTGTAATGTGAAGTGTAAAGTCGGAGAGTGTGAGAGTCCCTTAGAAAGGCAGAATTACTGTGAGCTAAAAGTTAAGTAACTGAAAATCATATATCCTGTTTCCTGATTTGCTAGTCTTTCTAGACAATATTTCTGGTCTGTTGGTGTGGGTCAGGGTCCTAGGCATCACTTGAAGTGCATTTACTCTTGTGTGCTTAGCAATACCAAGACGTGCCAATGCCCGAGGAGAAGAGCAGCCCCCGGGGCATGGAGTGGCTGTGGCATTCCATTGTGATAAGGATGTATTTGTCCTTAATTGCCAAGAGTGCCCGAAATTATACCCAAGAGGCCTCATTAGGAGCGCTCCAGAATCTCACAGCAGGAGGTGGCCCGGTAAGTCTTGTGACAGCTTTTCTACTTTTTAAAATGAGGGCATTGTAGACAGATCTACCTTAGGTGCAGAGGTGAAGCAATCAGGTAGGAGCAAGGTTTCCTCATTCCAGCCAAGATAGTTCTCAGAAACCACCAAGGTTTCAGCCTTCTACTACTTCAACCTCAGTTTCTGGAAAGCCGCGTCAGACTGCAATTACAAAAACAACGCCTTGGCTTTTATTTTGTTTAGTCCTTCTGCCATTACAGTCCTCAGAATTCTGCCTCAAATGAGTTGAAAAAAACACAGAGGGAAAGGAAGGAATTTCTCATATGGAACTCAGATGTCTGGGGTGGGTCTGTCTTCTTCCATGATTAGTCTTGACTGCCTCGCTCCACCTCTGGAGTCTGTTCCTGTGAGCCGTATGGTAGTGAGGACAGCTGGAAATGACAGCAGGCTTACATTTAACAGCCCGTTGTCCTCACAAATATTGCTATTAAGAACTCAGCGAAGGTGTCTCATTAGCCCATTTGGCCTGGTCTGGGTAAAGTGCCCAGGGTACAGGTTTGTGTTGGCAGGGGTCACTTGCCTTTTGCACTACCTGCAAAGGATGTGTGCCCTCACAGAAAGTCTGTTCACACCAGAAGTGGTGTATTCTTCTTTTTCCCGCAAGAGGGCGCCAGAGCTCCGGACGGATGGCCCTGAACCACTGTGTGGGTGCCAGGAATCGAATTCAGGACCTCAGGAAGGAAGGGAGGGAGGGAAGGGAGGGAGGGAGGGAGGGAAGGAGGGAGGGAGGGAGGGAGGGAGAGAGGGAGGGCAATCAGGCAGTGAGCGCTCTTAACCACTGAGCTATCTCTCCGGACAGTTTGAAGTAATGTATTCTTTGTCGGTAAATCAGTGGTGCCCACACCAGCACAGGATTTGAAACGGCATCTGCACACCTGTGTCTTAGAAGCCCATCCACAGGGCAGAGCTCATCTTCTTTCCAGAGACTTACTTTTATCATCAGAGTCAAAGCATATGGCAGAAGGCTATTACCTGTGCCATATATGTGTGCCTGCTATGTTTCTATATTCTATTTTAAATCATTGTTAGAACTAAGTTTATATTTACCTAGATGATGAAGTAATCGCTCCAGAATGGTTCATTACACAGCCGGTCTTTGTGTGTGTGTGTGTGTGTGTGTGTGTGCGTTTAGCTACATAGCTGAACACTCTTGGAGGGAACAGAAACATTTGAGAAAATGTATCTGTGTGCAGTATAAGTGTCTTCACATAGAAACCACCTCACCATTACAATGCGGCTAAGAGTACCAACCATTGTTTATTTGATTTGTCAGAAGCATGCTTGTGAACAAAGAGAAAGGAGGAACTCCGTTGTTTCCAACAAGAGAAACTAATAGTCATTTTTACTAGCTAACTGGGGACTAGTGGTAACGGAGAGAAGCCATGTGAGGCGGACAGCATGAGCCACACTAAGGTGTCGGAACGTCATTCTGAAGACAGCAGATGAGCACTAGCTGCTTAAATCTGATGGGATTTTGGAAGAAACTTTATTCCAGATCTGCCGTTAGTATTTAAAATCAGCAAGATTTTTTTTGTTTTGTTTTGTTTTCATGTACATTGATGTTTTTCCTGCAATGCTTTTCCTGCATATATGTCTGTGTGTCAAGTGTGTCAGATCCCCTAGAACTGGAGTTAGAGACAGTTGTGAGCCACCATGTGGGTGCTGGGAACTGAACCTGGGTCCTCTGAAAGAAAAGACAGAGCTATATTCCTCCAGCCCCTTACTTGCATCTCTCTCTCTCTCTCTCTCTCTCTCTCTCTCTCTCTCTCTCTCTCACTCTCTCTCCCTCTCACATACCCCTGGCTGTTCTGGAACTCACTGTGTAGACCAGGTTGGCCTTGAACTCACAGAAATTCACCTAAATCTGTCTCCCAGGCGCTGTGCCCAGCTGTGTGCCGCCACCACCCGGCCCAAAATCACCAAGTTTATCAGCACCATTTGAGGTCATGGGGGAGGCTGGATGAATGAGATCACAGAAATGCTAATCTGAAAATGTACTATTTATTCTAGCAATATAACAAATCTAAAAAAATCAGAAAAGGCAAAAAGCTAAATGGACCGAACAGTAGAGCGTTGGTGGGCGGTGAAGCTGAACTAGGATGCGACGACAGCATTGTTGGGTGTAGACACGCGTTTATGTGATAGCTGGGCCACTCCAGCGTTAGTTCAGATGCTAGCAGGAGACAGTTAGTGATGTGAAGTTTAGGAATTAAGGGTGGGGAAAAGGGACTAATCGTGGAGATAAATGTGATAGAAAATAGAGAACAAGACAAAAAGGTATTCAGAGCTCCATGGCCACACAGGACAATGTTCTTCTGGTTCCTTGTCACAGTGAGACTAAGTAGTTAATGTATGGAAAGAATTGAAGCTGGAAGCCTAGGAGGTGTGAAGTGGTTAGTTTGCTTAGCTGCATGGATAGGAAGTAGAAGGCTGGCAGCCAGTCTTCAAGGCCGTCAGATAAAATATACATGGAGATGGCATATGGGGAGAGAGGAATGCCCATCTCTTCTCTTCACCCAAGGTCCTGAATTGTACCCAAGAAACAGCTTCCTTTCTGGATATCTCTGGGGAAGAAACCTTCTTAGAGGAGAAGAGTTGATGGAAGATTAGTAGTTGCTACAAAGTATTTGAAGTAGTAATAATTAGCTTCCTTTAGCCATGGAGACTTTGACACTCAAGTAAAGTGATGTACAGTTTCCTGAGGAATATTAAATATAAACACAAAAACAGTTTTAGAGATCCTATATTCCTTTTAGTTCTACATTAAAACCCTCAATTCTAGAAAATAGAATTGAGAAAATGAAGAATACAGGTGGTGGTAGGAGGCAGTTTTTATATGAGACAAAAAAGGTAAGCATCCTAAAGAGTGGATAAGAATCACAAGAATTGTTGTCATGATAGCCTCATACTAACTTCAAATGGAAGTTTAATATAAAGTCACAGACACAAGCTAAGGCTACAGAACTAGAAAGGGCTAGAAAAAGCCAGGTCAGCATTTAGATCCTGAGTAAGATTTTCCTAGGCCTGACCCAGCGGTAGTCTCAGATACACAGACTGCTGTAATCCACGCCAGTGCTCAGGAGGCAGACAGATCTCAGTGAGTTCAGGGGAAGCCTGGTCATCTTAGCAAGTTCAGTGAAAGCAGATTACATGGTAAGAAAGCATAATCCAGCTAGCAGTGTGTTGCCTTTTCAAACACCTAATATCTACCTGACAGTGTACATATGAACTCACAGGGAGTGAGACAGCACACAGAAGACCTGCATAAGCTCAAGCCAGAAAAACCCCAGTGGTGGGGCTGGGGAGACACACGTAGAGTCCCTCCTCTAGCTGAAGAGCTGTTGGGTTTGGTAGCTGCTGAGAAAGAGAACATCAGTTTTCTTTAGTGTGAAGATCCCTGATGAGTCGGCCATACTCCAGGGCAGACCCACACCTAATAGTAGCTGAGCAGCACCAACTGGAGTTGAGTTTCTTTCCTTCTTTTTTCTTTTCCTTTTTCTTTTTAAAGGCAAATAAGAGATAGTTTATTCTGGAGCCATTATGAGTGGCCATGGCCTGGGAACACAGATTTAGGTTACCCCAAATTCCATGTTCCAGCATGGACGCAGGTTCATGAAGGTTTTTAGTTTTACAGAGCAAAGAATTGTAAGCCGAGGCAACTTTAACTACACTGGTGGGTACCGCGGAGAGGCCGTACATCAAGATGGGCTCTTAAAAGAAGACAGTTCAAAGTTGCATGGGGAGGGAGGAGGGGAGGATCAGGAAAGAGTTAGGAGAGAAAGATAAATATGGCAAACACATTATATTTTTGAAACTCTCAAAGAACTAATGAAAATGCTTCTTAAAAATACCACTTCTCTTTTTGTAATGAATTGGTTTTGTAGTTTAGAAATAAATAAATTTGTTGAAATATGTTAGTTACCAAAACTTGAACCAGAAGAAACAGGACTGGTAACTAAGCATCAGCTACTAAATGAAGCCAAGTGGTAACAGAGGAACTGTGTTTTCTCACCTCAGCTGGCAGTCTAGGAAAACAAAGACTCTGGGTCTCTGTATAAGCGGCTAGCAGCCATGTGACCAAATTGACCAAACCCACAAAGATGAGCTTGTATTAGGTGAATAGTTCAAGAAAATAGAAAAAAAGTGCTGTCTAGTTAAGTTTATATTACTCAACCCGTGATTTTAAAAGTTCAGCCCAAGAGGACTGGGAGGTGCACTTCCTTGCAAGCACAGGGATCTCAGTTTGACTGCCCTACACTGACATAAAAAGCCAACATGTCCACCTGGGGGTAATGAAGACATGTGAGTCCCAAGAGCTTGCCAGCCAGCCTAGCAGAAACAGCAGAATTCAAGCTCACTGAAACCCTGGCTCAAGGGAAGAAAGTGGAGGACAATGGAAGGCATGGGATGTCCTCTCCATCCTCCACAACATGTGCAGGGTGTGGCCATACACACGTTAAAACTTTAGGTGTAATACAAAGTAAAGTCAGATCTGTGTGCTTATAAACACAGATGCACAAAAATAATGAGTAACCTTTTTGTTGTTGCTGTTTTTCGAGACACGGTTTCTCTGTGTAACAGCCCTGATTGTCCTAGAACTCACTCTGTAGACCAGGCTGGCCTCGAACTCACAGAGATCCGCCTGCGTCTGCCTCCCGAGTGCCAGGATTAAAGGTGTGTGTCACCACTGCCCAGCTGAAAAAGAATTGTTACCTAGCAATTATATTGAAAATGTCAAAGAATTTAAAGAAAATACATGTAAAGTCCTTTCACTAGAGTTCTAGCTTTTATTGTCCCTCAACCTCTGGACTCTGCAGAGAACTTCTCCGATAGTGGATGTGATAGCATTTACAGGATCTGTCTCACAACAGATGCCCACATCAGTAGCTCGGATGGTTGTCCAGAAGGAAAATGGCCTTCAGCACACCCGGAAGATGTTGCACGTGGGTGATCCCAGTGTGAAAAAGACTGCGGTCTCCCTGCTGAGGAATTTGTCACGGAATCTTTCTCTGCAGAATGAAATTGGTGAGTCGAAGGCCGCGCGTCATAGGTGCTCAGTGAACTTCCAGGTGCAGGGGGCCGGTGATGAGCAGCCCTGTCTTTGCTGCACGGGAGGGCAAGTTCCCTCCTCCCATCCAGCCTTTTCTTCATTTGTTTTGATGACTTGCAGAAGAGAAATCTTGGACCACACTCGATCTGCATGCCACCTCTCACCCACTGGCTGTTCCATTCGGGGGGGGGGGGGTCTCATCTGCATGTGTGTCATCAATATAATTACAGTTGCATAATTACAACTTTAAAATTGTAAATTGGTCTAGAGTCAACGTGTAATTTATGCAATAGGACCCATCTTGATTCTGAGTTTTAATAGCCAAGAATAAGTAAAAATTCATTTCAATATATGTTGTGTTTTTAAATGAGATTTTTTTTAGCCAGATATTTATTTCATTATTTGTCTATCTATCTATCTATCTATCTATCTAGAATGAATATATTGTGGATATAGGTTTAGATAGATGCCTTCCCATAGTATATTGTAGAATGTATTTTATTGATGCCTGTACTTTCCTAAGACAACTAAATATGATAGACCCCTTTCATTGCTGTTCTTCCTCAGCCTTTACCGTGTGTGTTTCCTCAGCCTGGGTCTATGAAGGGATCTCCTGGTTGGTGATGAAAAGGATGTGGCACCGAGCTCAGCGGGTAGCTGGGGCCTTCCTGTTATTTGGTCAGAATTATTTCCATATTGTCCACATAAGTTGTGAAAGGAATACCCATGTTCCCAAGGTCTTTTAGTCTGGGGTTTAACCTTCTGATAACTTGCATGTGGCCACAATTAATGGGCATAAACTCCTGGGCTCACCCAGAACAACCTGTGGAGGAAGGTGCTGTTGCTTCCGGTGTTAGAAGTTAGAGACATCTATCAGGGAGGGGCCTACTGTGTGCACCCTGCAGTCAGGCTGTCTGCAGAGTCTGCTGTGGGTTGTCCAGGTGTCTTAAGTTCCCCTCATTTTAACTAAACCAGAAGCTTGATATTTTTAAAGTGTATTTTAGTTAATTAAACATATTCCTATAAGATAGTTAGGCTTTTGTGATTTTTTTTCTAACATATATAACTCTATCCAAAATATCTTTGTGGAAATCTTTTTCAACTTTTAAGGTAATGTCTGTATTGCCAGAAACAAAATTTCTGGATTGAAGAGTATGAAATTTTAAAATGCTTGACATTTTTACTCTGTGGAAGAATTTTCAGCACACAGAGCGGGCACTGGGTTTTCAGTACACTGAGAGCGGGCACTGGGTTTTCAGTACACTGAGAGCGGGCACTGGGTTTTCAGTACACTGAGAGCGGGCACTGGGTTTTCAGTACTCTGAGAGCGGGCACTGGGTTTTCAGTACTCTGAGAGCGGGCACTGGGTTTTCAGTACTCTGAGAGCGGGCTTTAGGTTTTCAGTACACTGAGAGCGGGCACTGGGTTTTCAGTACTCTGAGAGCGGGCACTGGGTTTTCAGTACTCTGAGAGCGGGCACTGGGTTTTCAGTACTCTGAGAGCGGGCTTTAGGTTTTCAGTACACTGAGAGCGGGCACTGGGTTTTCAGTACTCTGAGAGCGGGCACTGGGTTTTCAGTACTCTGAGAGCGGGCTTTAGGTTTTCAGTACACTGAGAGCGGGCTTTAGGTTTTCAGTACTCTGAGAGCCGGCACTGGGTTTTCAGTACTCTGAGAGCGGGCTTTAGGTTTTCAGTACACTGAGAGCCGGCACTGGGTTTTCAGTACTCTGAGAGCCGGCTTTAGGTTTTCAGTACACTGAGAGCCGGCACTGGGTTTTCAGTACTCTGAGAGCGGGCTTTAGGTTTTCAGTACACTGAGAGCGGGCTTTAGGTTTTCAGTACACTCAAAGCAGGGCATTAGGTTTTCAGATTCATATGTCAGCCTGTGACTCCAGCACTTGGGGGTGGGAGAGGCAGAGCCTAGGAGTCACTGGCCAGCCAGTGCCCTAAAACCAAACCCTGGTTCAGTCAGACACCCTGTCTCAAAGTGATAGGCGGAAAGGGAATAAGGAAGACAGCTGACAACCTGCTTGACTTTCATGTACGTGTGCAGGAGGCACACATACCAAACACTCCTGTGTGTGAAACACACACGTTCATACACACACATCCTCCTAAAAGAAAAATCCTTCTAACCAAGCATTGTTTTTCCTTCAATTTGTAGCCAAAGAAACTCTACCAGATTTGGTTTCCATAATTCCTGACACAGTCCCAAGTACTGACCTTCTCATCGAAACTACAGCCTCTGCCTGCTACACACTGAACAATTTAGTGCAGAATAGTCACCAGAATGCACGAGACCTCCTCAACACCGGAGGCCTGCAGAAAATTATGACCATCAGCGCAGGAGAAGGGTAAGTCCCCTAGTTCCTGTCCCCGTTTCCCGCCACCACGACTGTATCAATGCCCTAGCTGCCGTTACCTTTCTGAGTCCTACGAGCAGCAAGGCCACAGGCAGCATCCAGATCTGGGCCCTCATTCTCTTCTAGAAAATCCAGTCAGACAGGCGCCATCGTTTCTCTTACTTGTGGATTCTGGTGTTTCCTGATGTAATTAGTTAGCTTCCCAGAGCAGTGGCTGTGATTGAAGAATTGTAGACTATAGGCAAAATGGCATTTTACCATATTCTATCTTTAAAAAGAAAAGTGCCAAACAGCGTAAAGATAAATGTTATGAATATAAAAACTCTTTGTCACTAAAGAACTTTATAGAGTTTTGAATGTAAGGGACCTGCAACTTAAATGAATTTACTTCTTCCAAGAGACCCTGAATGTCCCTAGGGTACTAAGAACTCCACAGGAGGCTAGTGCTACTCTCCTTCCGGCAAAGCTAGTGTGGAAGAGAAGCTGAGGCGAAGCCCAACATTTGTATACATTGTAGCTTTCTGTATTCTTTTTTTTTTTTAATGTGCATTAGTATTTTTCCATGAGTGTCGGGTCCTCTGGAACTGGAATTACAGACAGTCAAGAGCTGTCATGCAGTTCTAGGGATTGAACCCGGGACCTCTGGAAAAGCAGTCAGTGGTCTTAGCTGCTGAGCCATCTCTCCAGCCCTGCTATCTGTGTTCTTGATTGCATGTTAATAGACCTTTGTGCCAAGGGAAATAAACCCATATTCTTTGTTTATGAAAGAAAATACAGTTGTATGTTAGTAGGTAATAGATGGTAATGAAATCTGAAAGAAAACTGACATCTAGCCAGAAATGGGAAGTTGAGGGCACATTTAGAACTGGAGCATCAGAAGTCAGTGCGGTGTCAAATGCAGTGGGGAACTGGATTGGGACAGTAAGTTCTCTGTCGACCCTGTTCTAAAGACACAATGAACAAGACTGTATTTTATTAACTTGGAAAATTTGGTTTGCCCCCCATTGGGAGGGTCCTTTTGTCTCGGAGGCATGCACACATCTTCGCTTGGTTTTCTGCGTTGGACTCTGTAGATATGACCATAAAAATACAAATAAAAGGCACTGTAAGTAAACTGAAGGATTTAAAACACGTATAAACATCGTGGGCTTTCTCCGTAAATTACTTATTTACCAGCGCTCCCCTTATGATTTATAAAAGAGCTCTTAAGTGAACTCTGGCTTTCGCAGCTCATCCTCTGTGTGTGACAAGTGGCAACTGCTGAAGCCGCACCAATGGCGACTTGAGGAACGAGAAGGGAATGGCCAAACTCCGTTTCTCACTAATCCACACGCATCTCTCTTTCCAGCTATGCCCCCAACAAGGCCAGCAAAGCAGCTTCTGTCCTTCTGTACTCTCTGTGGACACATACAGAACTCCATAATGCCTACAAGAAGGTAAGCGCACTGCCCAGATAAAACGTGACACTTGACCTGGCCCTCAGCCAGGTGATCAGAAATCACCAGATAGCTGCACTTTCTTCTTTGTATTTAAATTGGTTGGCTATTATGGTTGTCATTGTTGTTTTGATTTGTTTTTTGAAAATTTCATACATGGGCACTGCATTGTCCCTCCCAAATTCAGGTTCTCTTCTTTAAGTACCTTTGTTACATGTATATACACATATGCATGAGTACATACATAAATACATACGTGTACACATGTACATGTAACCTACTGAGTCCACTTAGCTTTGCTTGTATCCAAGGTTGACCTCATGCAATTGGACAACCTATGTAGGAGTTTATCACTGGGAGCGATTGGTTCTCCCTCTCACAGCGGCCTTTAGCCTGTAGCTCTTCATCAGGAGAGGGGTAATATGGGGTCACCCCTGTCCACACTGATGCGTCAGCTGGTGGTGCCATTTTGCTGGTCTTGTTCAATCATATTATTGAAAGTCTATGGATCCATTTTCCCTGCCATATCTAGGGAATATGATCTATCAGCCGTGTTGTGGGCCTCTGGATCTTAAAATCTTTCCCTTCCATGGTTTTCCCTGAGCCTTAGACCCAGGGCTGCATTCCAGATATATCAGTTGCGGTTAGGTACTGCACAGTCCCACTGTGGATCTCTGTAATAGTCTCTGTATGCTGCAGAATAAAACTTGGACGAGGAGTGGACTCTACACTTACCTGTGGCTCTAAGGGAAAGTCTTTGTAATGCAGTTAGAAATGATATTAGAATCTGGCAGTAGAATGCTGTCCTCTTGGGGAAATGACCTCTCCACAGCCTACAAAACCAGATATGACATCAGTCCTATGGGCGACCCTTAAGTCCAATTAGACAATTATTCAATTATTGATCATTTCCAAAATAAAGCGCCACTCTGGCAGCATTGTGGCTGTCTTGACAGGCCCGTCGTTGTGGCCCACAGACCTCACAGCTGGTTAGAGCTACTGACTGCTCCTCTCTTGGCCACTTCCACAGCACCTTCCCCTCTGTGAGCACCTCCTTAGGAAGGAGGATCCAGTCAGCTCCAGCTTCATTCCTCCAAGTCCTGAGTCCCAAAGTGCATGGTGTCTTCAGCAATAGGGATTTACCTTTACGTTCTGTGGGCAACACAGGAAACGTTAACAACTTATATTGCTGTGGAAGTCTTTTGAACTCCTCTGACCAACAAATCAAGAGGATGCTTCACATGCATGGTACCAGGGGTTTGTTAGGTACTCCACGTGGCATAACTTCTTTAAACTATGAAACTATGAATATACATAGATATTACAGATAATTTTAGGAAACATAAAATGAGTTCCTATGTCTTTTCAAACATCTTTAGTGTTATTTATCCTTCCTCCTCCACTTTTTCTCCACATCGCCCTCCCCCTTTCCAGTGAAAGTGCCCCAGTTCTTTCTGTTTCCACCTTTATGTCACCCGTGTCTTGTCATTCCCACTCAAGAGCTTCCCCTCACCCCCACCCCACCTTCCCCTTACTCTCTCTGCCCCACCTTCCCCTTACCCCTCAGCCCCACCATCCTCCCTCCCCCCTCCCCCACCTTCCCCTCACCCCCACTCCACCTTCCCCTAATTCCCTGGCACTACCTTGGTCTAGTGTTATATTCCTGATTCTGCAGGTTATTTACTTGCATGTGGAGATTAAGAGCTGGGGGCCACAAAGTGAGAGAACATGGGGCTTGTCTTTAGAGGCTGCACGCCTCACTCAGTAGAGTGTTTCAGTTTCATCTCTTTACCTGCAGATTTTATGACTTTGTTTTTCTCTGCAGCTGAATAGAGTTCCATTGTGTACATGTACTGCATTTTTATCAGCCATTCATCAGTTAAAGGGCATTTGGGTTGTTTCAAAACATATTCCACCAGCCTTAGCAGTTAGGGAATGGAAATCAAAACTGCTCTCAGATTTCCCCTTGCCGTAATCGGAAGGGCTAAGATGGAGAGTACAAATGACAGGGGCGGGTAAGGCTGTGGGGAACGCGGTGCCTCCTTCACGGCTGGGAGTGCAAGCTGCTGCAGCCACTCTGAAACCAGTGCGGAGCATCCTGAAGCTAACAAATCTACACCACTCCTTGACATACGCCAAGGAGTTGACACCCTGCTTCCCAGACATGCTCAGCATGTTCATTGCTGCTTACGTCACAGCTGCCGGGAAATGGAGCCAACCTAAATGTTCTTCCGCTGATGAACGGATGAGGCGTTTTCTTACGCGAGGATGTAGTAGCCTTTTACATTTCTGTCTGCTTCTTCCAAAGGCTCAGTTTAAGAAGACAGACTTTGTCAACAGCCGGACCACCAAAGCCTACCACTCCCTTAAAGACTGACAAAGGTGGAAATAAATTTGGAAATTTCAGCTTCAGGGTTCCCCACTATAACCCCCCCCCAAAGAAAACACCTATTTTTCTACTAACTGACCCAAGAAACCTCAGAAAGCATGCTTTGTTTATATTCTTTTGTATTTCTATCCCCAAAGTCTAGAAAATGAATAATCACGATATAATTTGTTTAGGCATCCTTAAGACTTCTACAAGGTCTGTTGTGCCCTGTAGAGCTCACGGACACCATCATCCACGCTCACAGTACATGTGAATACATGTGGGTAACAGCCAAGGAGCACCTGAGGAAAGACCTGAGTGGCTAGACTTTTAAAGTGAGCTTGACATTTCTGTCCTTTGTCTGGGCTTCCTTCTTGTCCCTCGTCTGCATGTTACTCCATTATTGAACCACAGGCGTGTGTTCACCATACTGAACAGGACAGAGATGACAAGAATAAAGCTTTGGTGACAAGTCGTTTGTGATTGTTTTCCACCCTTTTGGGTAGCTCTGCTTTATCTTTATCTTTCAATTTAAATGGATGTAAGAAATGTAGATTCCAGAGCTGCATCAGTTGAGAAGTGTCATAGCAAACTCTGTGGCTGTAGAGACTCACCCACCGCGCGCCACTGCGACGAGCAAGCATGTGGTGGAGAAATGGGAGAGAAGAGAAACAGAGCGACTCGTGCTGTGGAGAGAGGTGGGACTGGAGACGCTGTTGTGGTGAGGAACAGGCTGGCGAGAGCGGCCTGCACTGCCACCTGGAGCCAAGTGATGTCTGGACCTCTGCTGCTTCCGAGGTGGCTCCACGGTAGCCAGGGAGCTGTGTTGATGTCTGTGGTCCCTATTACTACCAAAGGCCATGAGGGTGCCTGTGGTCTGGGCTGCCACCCAAAGCCATGCTGATGTCCAAGGGCCATGCTGAGCTGGCCCTGCCCCTGAGAGAGTTTGCCCTGCCCTCACAGGAGAGTTGGGCCTGCCTCTCCCTGACTGCTGCCTGCAGGGAAGCTGACCCTGCACTTCACCTCGCCTGAGTGGGGGTTCCCAGCGGAGGCCTGGGCTGATCAACTCAGCTACCACCCAGGCCCACCCCAACGTCTCCCCCATCTGTGACTACTGGAGTTCATTAAGGGCGGTCCTGCAGAGCTATAGCCACAGGGTCTCCATGACTACAACAGCATGGTATCCAAGAGGAGTCTGGGCGGGAGGGGTCCAGTATGGATGGTCTAGCAGAAGCCAGAGGCCTTGAACCAGACCAACAACATGTTGCAGTGAACGTTATACAAGTAAAACCGTTGGGCACAAGGGCCTACTGCACAGCACACCGCGGCTTCCCTTACCACTGCGGCGAATACATTTATGAAGGACAGGTGGGCAAGGAGGAGGGGCAAAGTGGGGCTTTTTTATTATTTTTTTTACTTTTTCCTTTCTTTTTTGGAGGGGAGGCTACAAGGGTGGAGGGAGGACAAGGAAGGACTGAGAAATGAGTGGGATCGGGCGCATGATATGAAATTCTCAAAGAATAAAAAGTGATCTTTAAAAAAGTCTGGCCATGTATAAAGACAAGTATTGGTTCTGAAATTCCATGTTCTCCCTAAGCATGGTATAAATGGAGTTTTCACTTCAAGAAATCATGTCTGTGTGATGTCACCACTGGGTGTTGATCTCTTGGCCCAGTGTGGTCTGGACTTTGCTGCCCACTGCGGTTGGGACAAGAATCCTTTGTTCTTTGGCAAGGTTCCAAGGGGAGCCAGCTGAGACTGCTGGTTTGAATGAATCACAGCGTCAACGTTGTCCACTTTGACAGTGTGATCCAGGGCCGCTGTAGCTCATGCTTTCTCCCTGATACAAGACAGGAGAGCCCTCGAGAAGGGGCCAGAAGCCATTGTAGCCCAAACTGAGAAGTACCAGCCTTCGGCAGCTGAGGGATAGCTAGGGAAGGGCACTTGTGGGAAAGGCAGTTTTAACTAGATGGTAATTAAGCCGTTCCCATTAGTACTCCACTACAATTCTGCTCTTTATTGATCCTTTGAAGTCTGACATCATTTGCATAAGAAAGTAAGAGAAAAAATAATCCTTCAGCTACTTTGGTGGGAAAAAAAATGAAGAGAAAGTAAATTCCCATTTCTATTTAAATGTTTGTTTAATTCTGGATTATTTTGGAACTTAAAATGTGTTTAACTTTAAAAGTTTTAGTTTAGGTGATTTGCCCAGGTTGAGAGGTTTAATTTTTTTCTTAAAAACTAAATCTTTCACCAAAGGTCTAACAATAAGCATTTAGGGCTCGTGTATTTCTCCAAATAAGCGATAGAAGTTTAAAAGTTCCTGTGGATTTCTGTGTTTGCTTCTGGTGTCTTTATCTTAAGGTGTTAATATCCGGTTATATTAAATACAAAAAGAATGGAAGCGACATTGCCTAAAGTTATTTTTATTTATTTCCAAATTAAAGTCCTAAACTCAAAGTATATAAAAATTGGAAGACACACAATTGTGTTCACTATTGTTAGACTTTATGTGTATATAATGTGTCTGAGTCTATGAGAACTTAGCTGGCTTGACCCTCCTCTCTCGCTTTGCTCCTCTGTTCACAGACAGCCCCGTTGGCTCAGCTAGATGAGTATCAGCTTTGACCAATGGTCTGTACCTAAAGCTGTTGTTTCCCGGCTGTGCCTCTGCCCCCACAAGCCCTCCCTCCCTTCGGATCAGTTTGTGCTAGGAGGTTTAAAGCCGCTCCACGTCCGGGAATACTGAATGGTTTTCTAGACTGGGAGGTTTCTGGCTTGGGACTGCATTGCAGGAGCAAGTGACTGGTAATCCCCTGTTTACCTTGAAAAGGTTATCTACAAAATAAACGGGATTAACATGCCAAAGGGAAAAAATAGCCAGGGCAGACAAACTAATACCAGATAAGTCACCCTCTAAGATGTAAGTCCTTAGAAGAAAACAAAAAATTATGTGTGTGTATGTATATAAAGCTTTTATATATATTACATATATACAGTAGGTTGTGAGATTTCTGCTTACCAAAGATATAACAAACTTTCACACTGTAGTGAGGATGAGCCTCAGGATTAGGGGACAATTCAGAAGACACCCAATCAAGTTTTTGGAGTATCTTCTTGCATCAAAAAAGACTTGATCCTAATGGCAACAGAAAACATTCATTCAGCTAGTGCCCAGTATAACCCCATCTTAAGACTCATGCGATATAAAGATCCTTGTTGAGGGAGGAGAAACAAAAGGAGGAACCACTTTTCAAAATGCAGTTCTGCTTTAAGGTTAACAATTTAGTTTGCGGTGGTCCTGACGTCTCTGATGAAATATACGCCAGCCTTCGAAAGCCTGCGTGAGGGAATATCTCCTTAGGATGAGTGTGTTCTGAAGCAAGAAAGAATGCCATCTGTTAGGGTCACACCCAGCAGACTGTGCCTGGGAGACTCTCCTGGAGAATCCAGCTGTTTGAGCTGAGGCAGGTGCCGTTTTCAATTCCCAGCAACCACATGGTGGCTCACAACCATCTGTAGTGAGATCTGGTGTCCTCTTGAGTCATCCACATCAACTTAGACCCTGAAATCCAATGTGGACAAGTTCAACAGAACCGCCATGTACGGGCTGCCCACGCATACTTTCGCATTGCCAAGGCATAGATTTCATCTTCATTCTGCAGAGTAGGCAGCCAGACTTCAGTGCTAGGCTGTGCCAGCGAGACCTGCAGATACTCAGTGGCATCCTTGTCTCCTCAGGCTTTTCTTTAAAAAAAATTATGCATGGGAAAATACGAAGCAGAGATAATCACATTCCTAGAGTCAGAGCAAAGCTGCAGAGGGCCTATCTGAAGCAAAGGGCTTGGCCCCCCTCCAGGATTCTCCCCAGACCAAAGAGGAAAGCTCACACGTCTGCATCTGTGCAATGTCAGCTTCTCTCCTTACGAACCTATGGCTGCAGTCTGACCCGACAGCCAGAGGTCTCATGCCAGCCATCCAACCTGGCCTCACACTGTGTCATTTCTCTGTGGAAAGTTTCTTAATCTCACTGAGCTTCAGATTTCTTTATCTGTATAATGGGTTCTGAGGAAGTGTGTCGGTTAATAACACCGGGCCCATGGTGTGTCCTAAAGACAGCAGGGGTAAGTGTGTCAGTTAATAACGCAGTGCCCACGGTGTGTCCTATAGGTAAAGACTGCAGGGTTAAGTGTGTCAGTTAATAACGCAGTGCCCACGGTGTGTCCTAAAGACGGCAGGGTTAAGTGTGTCAGTTAATAACGCAGTGCCCACGGTGTGTCCTACAGGTAAAGACGGCAGGGTTAAGTGTGTCAGTTAATAACGCCATGCCCACGGTGTGTCCTACAGGTAAAGCTGTGCAGCTTCCCGCTGCGGAAAGCTCCTCTTTAATCCACCTCTTTAATTCTCAGCCTCCCCTCACACACTCCTGCACACTCACAATCCTGTGCTCCCCCACACAGCATCCTAAACTCACACAACACACTCCTTCACAGCTATGCAATCACACACATGTGCGCTTACTGAAACACACTCTTACACTCTTGAGCTAACTCTCGTGCGCTCACACTCTGATGTCCTACACACTCCTGTAACTAATTTGTGTCCTGTCTCGTACTCCTGCGCTCACACGTCCTTTCCAGACCAGGCAGGCATGGAGGAACAGATAAGGCTGGCAGGTAGTTTGCAATACTGTGTCTCAGAGCATGAGTCCTGTGTGGTTGCTTGCGGTATAGAAATAGCCTGTACTTACGTTTGGGAAAGGAAGAGTTAGCCAGAGATCAAAAGGTTCTTGGATCAAGTGTGGTGACCCTTTTATCCCAGCATTCCAAAGGCAGAGGCAGGTGGATTTCTGTAAGTTCAAGTCCAGTTTGGCTACATAGTGACTTCTCTAATTCAGCCAGGGCTATATCCTTGCCTTAAAAAAAGACAAACCTGCTGTTTCAAGCCTTCTCCAAGCTCCAGTGAAGGCATCATGACATCCCTAAAGAAGCACAGTGTTGTGCATGTGACAAATCTATGACTCAGAATCAGTGAGGTCATGTATAGCTCTTGAGGCTGTCATTTATTGCACACAGAGCAACACGGGTCTAAGCCTTGGGCAAAAGGACAAAAGATTCAGTCTAGTCTGGTTTATCAGGCTAAAACCTCAGTAGTGAGCCATCCTTGGAGTTCATTCTAAGCAGAAAATTCGAAATTGGCAATTATAGTAAACTGAGAACCATTCTCTAAACATTTTCTTCATGTGGAGTAGCAACCTGACGGCAGGTGGATAGCTCAGAAGGCAGGTGGATAGCTCAGAAGGCAGGTGGATAGCTCAGAAGGCAGGTAGATAGCTCAGAAGGTAGTTATTAGCTAGGGGAGCATGTGGAGGCAGCAGCAGACATTCCTGCTGCCTGGACAGACTCCCTCGTAAATCTAACATCAATGAGTAGCTCAAGTCTCAGAAGCCTGGGCTCTGCCTGCGAGCTGTTACCACACAGTATACCTGGCAGGAAATGAAAAGCATGTCCAAATATCACAACCCCACACGGATGCTCTCCACAGCCACCAGCAGCAGCCCTGGACACTCTGGAGGGGCCCTTTAATTCCAGCTTTCAGGGTCGTGGGTTGCACCGAAGGCCTCCTCCTGCAGCTGACTGGTGAGTATACTCTGAGAACATGTCCGTAGGCCTTACGAGATGAACTTCACCATGCTGGTTTCTACAGTGCCCTCTGCTTCACCCAAGAACCAGAAGTTTGCAGCTGTGGCTGTGCAGGTGCAGAGTTCTAGGGCGCATGTGCTGCCTCCAGTGTGACTGGAAGTTACATGGTACGTTCACTAGGCTCCTTAGGAACCGCAGGAACAAAGTTGGTGGAGAATAAATGAAGTTTAGGGTTGCTGAGGAAGAAAATTTTTTTTAAATATTTATTTATTATGTATACAATGTTCTGTCTGTATGTCTGCAGGCCAGAAGAGGGCACCAGAAGTCATTACAGATGGTTGTGAGGCACCATGTGGTTGCCGGGAATTGAACTCAGGACCTTTGGAAAAGCAGGGAATGGTCTTAACCTCTGAGCCATCTCTCCAGCCCGAAGGAAATGTTTTTGCTAGTGTTTGTTTGTGGACAACCCAAACTTAGGCTGGTCCTTAGGCCCGTCACCATTGTCAAAGGACTCCAGGAGGCACTCCAAGGGGATAGCACGGCTTACAAACGCCATTAAGTCCTGGTCTCTCAATAATTCTATCAACTGGGCAAGATGACCCTGGGTAACAGCCGTTCAAAAGGAACATTGTGGATGGTGGCCTTTAATCCCAGCACTCAGAGGCAGGCAAATCTCTGAGTTCAAGGCCAGTCTGATTTCCAGGTCAGCCAAGGCTACACAGAGAAACTCTATCTTAAAACTCCCCCCCCCACACACACACCCCAAAAAAGGAAGGAAAGAAAGAGTTCTACCCAGGTGACCAGACTTGCAGTTTCCTGTCTTTGTTTAAATTCTCAAAGTGTAACCTAGGGGTGGGCCCTAAAAGAGGGGTAGGATGGTAGCATATGTGAACATATGATCTTAA